AATTTACGCTAGGGTTGTTCATCATTTCAGTAAATATTTTTTTGTATTTTTTTCACATTTTCAAAATTTAAAGTTCACAAGAAAGATTCTCTCGCTCCTGCCTTGTCAGACTATAACGCTAAACTCAGGACTAATGTGATTATCTTATACAACTGATCAATTACGATAAAGAGCACCTCTTGCCGGGTGTGCCGTTTTGTCATGTGTGTCACACAAATACAACCGAAAAACGTCCAAAAACAGATATGTTTGCATAACCTCAATATTGTCGTTTATTCCACGGTTCTTTCTGGTTCCTTTCGTTTAATTTTTTTTTGTCACTTGTTCGACAGAATCCATCTAATAATTTTTTGCTTGTTTAATCTAAATTTTGAAAAAAAATAAGTTTGAAACGTGGGAAAAATCAAGCACTAAATCTAAATAGCCTTCTTTGATCAAAAATGTCGATTCCTTCTTCTTCCTATTTGCTAGAATAATTTAATCCTTCTTAATAGTACTGTGATCATTTTCTGATTTTGTTTTGTTTTTATACACTTTTGTTTTCTTTTTATTTTATTTCAATATGGTTCTCTCCTTTAAGTAGAGTGTATAGTTAGGTGGGAAGTACAGTAGATTTTCTTGTTCATTTTTTTTTCTTGTTTCCGTTTTCGTTTAGGTGTTTGCTCTTGGGAGTTTTAGAGATTTAGTTTTGTTTCTTTGGGTCGTGGGGAAGAGGAAAGGGGGGCTATGTCTAACAATCATCACACTGCGTGGTTCATGAAAAACCGATTAAAATCGAACCGAAATTATCGTCCTTGAGCAAATGGGGGGGACTTTATTGCACTATATCCGCATTGGAACCGATTGTAGATGGGCGGGTTTTGATTTTACTTTACCTACTAATTATAATGAGGAAAAATAACGATTGTAAGCGTTGCTTTAGCGATTGGATAAGTACGTCTGTCTGCTGCCATGAAGCGATGTTTTTTTCTAAATTAATCAAAGGAAATTACTACTGACATTTACCATTTTAGGAGTTGCAAAATACTGGAGATTTTATTCTGGACAATTTACGCAACGCCAGGTAGATTCCGAAACATACTTTCACAAAGTCTCACGAATGGAAAGACTATCTTAGATAATTTTCAAAATGCAGTGATCATTCACTGGATGGGACGCAACCTAATTCCATCTACCGAATGCCATCCGATAATTTTATACGCTTTCGAAGCTGTCAAAGTGTAGTTGTTCATACAGAAAAGCTCTCTAGACAATTTCAAACTTTCAACAATGAAATGTCAAGGCTACATTAAAACAATTTTCTGACCAAGGGGTACTCAACTCTGCACTTATCAAACTGTGCCGAGTATTTTATCTGTGTCGAAAGCTGTTCCCAGCGTTGTACCGAATGTGCCGAAATGTGGCAATCAAGCTGTCGGTCTTAGTACCCCGGCTACCCGGCAGTTATGACTTTTGAGATTATTTGTTTACCTTTTGATTTGAATTCCTGAAATTGTGAACTTGGATCACATGCAAAGCTGCAGTTGCCATTTTCAAGTTATTGTCAAACTTATCCCTACTGAGTGCTCAGATTTATCGAGAATAGTGTATTGCTTATTAGTGCATTCAGTTGAGGCATATCATCAGATTGGTTGGTGGAGTTCATCAAGCTGGCCGAAATCCTTGAAGGAAAAGGTGAACCAGTGAACGTCCTGTTTCAAAGCAATAAAACGGTGCCAGTTGTGGAGACAATTTTGAAGATTTCCCCACCACGGGTATGTTTTCCGCTAGTTTGGACCCTTGAAATAGTATGAGACGGAAGGTATGCAAGCGTCTTCAGTCGTTTTCAGTTTCCTTCCACTTCCATGGACGAGTGCACCGATGACTTTGAGTTCATGCACTGACGAAAATTTGTCAGGAGAGCGGGGAAATGTTAACTAAAAATGAACACTAAATGTTCATTATACATTAACATTGCCCCGCGATCCTGTCAAATTTCCATCAGTGCATGAACTCAAATTCATCGGTGCAGTCGTCTATCCTGTACAATCATATCAAAACACTGAACATTATTTTAATGTTGACACATTATTTTAATGTTGACGTTTTATAGTCCATGAACCATGCTCCCATTTTCGACAACAGGTTCACGATACTAAGCATGAACTTTAAACACGTTTACCAGAACAAGATCATGATTTTCAGAACAGAGTTCACGTTTCTATGACTGTTTTGCCTTTGCTGGTGCCCGGTGCAACGCAGCGCAGGCGTTACGTTTATTTTGTGGAACAATATTCACGATTTCATGCTGTTTATTCATGATGTAGGCGAAATGACGGCTTTGGCATGACAGACTATTTTCGGTAATCCAAATTGAAATGCTAATTTCACTGGATTTTCTTAAGAAAACACTTCGCTGAATGCATTCAAACTATTCTTTAGGCTTTCAGCTTCAATTTGATTATATTTTTACCACTGAGAAAAAGCAATCTAGCAGGGTTTTCTTGAAATGAAACACACGCACTACAAAATGCTGTTTATTTCGAGTTGCCGATGAAAGCACAGCTGTTTAACACGCAGCTCAAATGGGAAGGTTGCCGAATAAAAAGATGTTGCCCACAATAGTCGCTCTCACTAGAGAAGATTGGAGCATTGCAAAAGCGTTTCAAAACAGATGTTGACAGTTTTTTCGACTGAAATCGTTAGATTGTGAACAAACCTATATTGCATATGTGTGCGTTCCTTAGAGAACAAGGCTATAGAAAGATGGTCGCTGCTTAGGTTGTCGAGAATACGTAAGTTTCTCGTACTTTCGTAAACGAAAAATGGACTTATTCCGAAAATCGTGACTTGAGGTTGACGAACTCCGGAACGGATTTTTTCCCGTGTGGTTATTCTGTTTATAAGTAAAACGAGCATCAAATAACACGCATGAGAGTCTTGTAAAACATTCATTCCTCTTGAAGAGAATGAGAAGATTGACAAGCGCTAGATCGTCGGCCACTGCTGGAACTGTTAGCCAGTATGCGCTGACTGTTGCCAACCTCAATGTTCTACTCCTCCTCGAGAAGGAGAATGGTGACTGATGGCAGAAGTCGTCCACCCATAAGAGTACCGGGTGTCATTCTGGTAGACGTTCGCCGAATCCTGTATCATAAATATTCAACCGGCAAGCGCAAGATGTACCTGTAGATCATCATCATGCTACTCGGGTAATCAGGAAGGATTTGACCTAAAATTCCCGTCGGCAATAGTAGAAACAGCAATAGACCTTCAGTAGCTTCCTGTTGGGTACTGCACTCGTCTAACTGAGCTATACAATTTTTGGAGAGATAGTTAAACGATTTTCCATGACTTTGAACTTTTGAACACCCTAATAAATAAATAGGAGGCCCAAACCGCTGAGATTGTTCAGTAACGAATTTAAAATTTACTAGTGTTGCTCTTCTTCGTCTTTCTCATGGCGCTCAACTTCTTACTTTCAATCTGTTCATCCACATCTTCATCGACTAATATCCAACAGCATCCAATTGCTGGTCCAGGATCTTGATACCGGTTGCCAACGTTTGATCCGCTTTGTCTCTGCTTGTGATTCATTCATATTTTTCATCCGTGCTTGGTCATGCCGAAATTGCATATTTATAGCCCTGAAACTACTGGCGGTTCCACTTGCGTTTATTAATACCGCGGTTCAGATTGGCTTCATTACCTCCGGTGTGGTTACCTTTTCAATTCTACAAGCAGAATACTTCTTAATGTTGCTAAAGATTCTGCTAGAAAAAAATACAACACTTTCTTTTGTGTATAACTGTTTATTGCCATACCATTTTTTATAGTTGATAAGGTTAACATCATTGGGGCTTCATCCAGCCTGTTGATGTAAAACAACACTAAAACAACAATTGCATGGGTAAAAATTGATGAAATTTTGAGTAAAACTAGTTTAGAGTGTAGTATTTACATGTGCCAAATCTCGTCCCAATCTGTCAAGTGGTTATCGAGATGGCGTCCAAGTAAGAAGTGCTTCGCCAAAAAATTATGAGAGCGGTCATCGAAAATCCAGACCAGCCCCATGGTGGATCGCGAAACAGTTTGAAATCGACGATTCCCACCGTGTCCCGTGTGGTAATATCGTTCAGACGACCCAGCGGCGACCTGGCAGCGGAGGAAAAGCGAAGACGACCGACCCCGTGAACGTAAGGAAGGTGAGGGATTACTTCAAGCGCAATCCGAACCTTTCGATTCGGGACGTTTGGTTCGTCCAGCAGACAATGAAACGCATAACCAAAACCGATAAACAGAATACGGTGGTCAAATCCCGCGCCAAGAAGCTGTACCGCAAGTGGTTGGTGCAGCCAAAATGTATCGTAATGGACGACGAGACGTACATTAAAGCGGCTGCCAAGCAGATCCCCGGCCTCAAGTTGTTTGTCGGCAAGTCCCGCCTGGATGTTCCAGAGAAGTTCTGGAAGAAGAAAGTCGATAAATTTTCCAAGATGTACTTAGTGTGGCAGGCGATCTGTGGGTGTGGTAAATTCAGCAGAAGAATACCTCCAGAAGCATCTGTCTTCATCCGATCCCACGAAGGTGACACTTTGTTTTGGCCAGATCTGGCATCGTGCCATTGCGCGAAATCGGTCATGGAGATATTGTTTTTGTGCCGAAGGAGGCAAATCCGCCAAACTCGCCAGAACTTCACCCAATAGAAAAATTGTGGGCGATTATGAAGGGCAAGCTCCGGAAAACAGGGAAGGTCTTCAAAAACGACAAGGTTTTGAAGAAAGAGTGTATGAAAGTGTGTAAGAAAGATGGCGGAAGCGTTGCACAGGATTTGATGGGTAGCGTTAAGTCGAATATGCGGGCATTAGCCTATGAGAGGAGCTTGAATAAACCAACTTTGCAAGAACATAGCTAATATGTGTTTATTTATTTCCTGAGAGTTTCAAAAATACTCGATCTAAAATCAATTTTTGGTGATCATTTTTGTCTGTTGCATTTTTTCATGTACAGTCATTAATACGGGATCCACAAACTCCACCAGCCTCCACAGTCGATCGAAACTCCGAGAGAATGAGAATGAGCTGTACGGCTGACTGATTGGTGGACCATCAATCGTGCCGAGTGGTTCTCGGGGAGAAACTGTGATTGCAGACGCATCTACAGTGCGGCAGGACAGTTCTGCGCAGTATGGGCTACTAGAGTGATGCAAAATTTGAAATTTTCGCTCCACAATACTTAAACGATTCCAAATCGGATCCTGACAAACCTCTCAAAATTTGAACCCATTTGGTGAGAAACTGAGATGGCACAAACCATTTGAAGTTTGTATGGGAATTACTATGGTAAACCAAGATTTTTGTTCATTTCTATCTAACAATTCACCATATCGGTCTGCTTCAAAAGCTTTCAACTTTGCTTATAGGAAATTTTCCCAGCTACAACTTTGCTGAAGACCATTTTTTGATTAAATGTAAGAATCAAAAGTTATCTATGGTTCAATGCGCTGATGTCTTATGATCATGCTCAATAAACTGCTCAGCAGGCAACATTGGTGTTTCTGGGGCGTTGAATAGGACACAAAAATCTTGGCTACTATGTCACACTGGGACGGGACTTGACAATCGGGTAGCGATTTCGAGCCAATTTTCTGTCAAATCCGAGCCAGTTTCTGATTGGTCGATTTGACAGTAGCAATCGTGGAATAAAAAGGATAGAGGGATCGCATCAATCTGGCTGGCAGTGATGCCGGAATCAATGTTGACGTCAATGGCGTTGTTATTTGTTTATATTTGCGAAAGGAGAGTTGAAAAATTGAGTGCACTGCGTGTTTTAAGCGATGGATATTGTTGTTTGTTTATGGTTATTTTTATTGTGTTGAGCAAAAATGATGTTCAAGCTGCTAGACTGCGGTAGAAACTCCGGATAAAATCCAAATTTAAAATAGAAAAATATTTTACATTCCTGGCATCATTGGTCTACTCCTTCAAACACCACGTGCAACTTTCCGAAGGGCATTCTTCAAAAACATTAAGAAGAGTGAGAAGCTCGATTGTCACGTCCCGTCCCGGATGTCACACTGCAAAATACAGTGTTGCCTACAGAGCAGCTGCTTGATCATGTCATAAGTTTACCAATCTCTTAAATAATTAATAACTTTTTCCTGTCTCGTTTTACATAGAAACGATCTTCAGCAAAGTTGTAGCTGAGAAAATTTTCTATAAGAATGGCTATCGAACTGTTTCGCAGCTCAATATGGAAAAAAAAACTAGAAGGCAATGAACAAAAAGTTGAGATTTCCCATAGTAATTTACATGTAAACTTCAAATGGCTTGTGCGAAGTCTGTTTCCAACCAAATGAGTTGTAACTTTGGGAGGCTACTCAGGACCCGATTTGAAACCATTTAAGCACTGTGGAGCAAAAAAGTCGAATTTTGCATCAGTCTAATGGGCTACTATCTATCGCACGGACTAGCGAAAGCACGCGAGCTTGTCGAAGCACAAAAACGGTCTGCTCCTTTGGCGTTGATGGCACCGTCGAAAAATTGTCTCTTCTAGAAAAGATTGACAGGATACTACAAAGTCCGCCAAAGTCTGACGTTTGCTTATGGATTTTACCATAGGAGTAAAGAGCTACAGAGTCGCCGTCAACGCCATTTGAGATTTTTTTTTCCTTTGTTTACTTTGTCGGTTTCAGCGGATAGATAATTCGCTCTATCGAGTCCTTCTTCAAGCGACGCACCCATGCAGCATATCATTTTTCGTTTGACACGGAAACTTTTCTATTTTGCCTACATGTACTATTCTTAACCATGAATATGTTTCATTCTAAAATAGACTAAACGTAACAAGGTTTGTTAGAAAAATAGTAGTTATTTTCAACAATACTCATTGTCTGGCTACTGCGAAGCCAATCGATTTTAATTTGCGAGCCAATGAAAACTGCTTGAAAATTTTCTTAAGTATAAAATGGCTTTGCTCTTAATCAGTTGATTCCTGACAAAAGCTTCAAGTCAGGAGTGCTCGAGCCCCCATGACTCTAATAATGTTTGTTTACATACTTATATGAGAAGTGTTAGGAAAAAGTATGAGATGACAATGCTTGACTATCGATAAGAAGAGTAACCACATTTGTGGCTTCTGAATGTTTGGCTTCCATTTGACAGTTCACACTAGCTCTCAGTTGACATGCATATTAAGTGAGTCCGCAGTACCAAGCTGTTTGTTACTCTAATGGTGTTAAACTCCAACCGGTATCATCCTCGGATTAAATCCTGATCAAAATTGTCCGACTGCTTTGATGTCGACATCAGAGTAAATCAACACGACTCTAAGTAAAAAAATTGCAGAACATCCAAACAGGCACGGTATTAAAAGTTAATCCGAGTTGGAGCATACCGCCCATAAGTGGAACATAATGCGCCCGTGAATTTTAGTGTGGAAAGCATATCCATCAGGCGTGAGCCACATGCTTGGCATGCTCGGTTGTACACACCAACCGCTCATTTGTTAATCACCCATGTTCTTGTTTTCGTTCGAACCATATTTTCCACACAAAAAAACTTTTTTTTTTTGTATGGAAAATACGGTTCGAACGAAAACAAGAATATGAGTGAATAAATTTTCACTCAGTTGATAAAATATGTTTTTCTTTAAAGTAATTGATAGATTAGGATCATAGTTTCCTATAATTTTCCTTACAATTGAATCAACACCAATGAATTTTTACACTTACAATCCGAGATGTGCAGCGAGCATTTCTCACTTCATTTTTGCAACGCAAAAACAAATACAGTTTATTACTTGAATTAAAATCTACTTTTTACGTATCTATAAAACGCTTTAACTGCTTAAAAAAGAACTATGTTTCGTCAACTGTGTGCACAGTTATTAAAAAATGAGCAGTTCGTTACTAAACCTTACTGATTGAGGCAGGGCCGATGATTTGCTTTGAATTTATTTGACGTTGCGAAAAGGCTTAGCAAAGGTCGTACTATTTCTTATTACAAGCACTACGGCTTAACAAAAACGCCTATCCATTGAAAGATTCACAAAAAGGCTTATTAATTTATGAAATTAAATTGTTACCAAATTATTAAATTGAAAGCTTTTCGCATATTTAGGATGTTGCATACTGAGATACAGTTACAATTGTTATTGTGAACAATATAAATGCCTTAAATACTTCAATTTTCTTAAATATGAAATGAATAGTGGCGGAAAAATTTAAAATTTATTTTCTGATATATTTACGTTTTGGACATAGGCCCCTTTCAAATGTTACTCTAGAAGTCTGCTCGGAAATAATGAGACTTATTCTGCGTCGCAAGTGAGGTAAGGTGACTCGCTGTCACTAGTGAGGTGATAACAGTCACCGTCTATTCGCTTTTTCGTTCGAAGCCGAGTTCCCACGCTTCCCATACTAAAGAAAAAAAAACTGTTTCGAACGAAATATAGAACAGGGATGAATATCTGCAAAGCAATTTCCCATTTAAGACGTTAACGCATAAGTAGTGGAATTTGGTCTAATGACCCATCACCAACAAACATCCTGTTCTGTTTCCAATCCTGGCTACGTCTTTGAGAAAGAACGTCTCACAACAAATTTAAATGGCTGAAACTCACCAGAATTTTGCTGATTTTAAACTTGATGAAAGATCAGCAAACTTTCTAGCAAAATAATGCTGCTGAATTTTCCAGTAAATCCAACTTCTGTCAAAATGTGAACATTTTACTGATAATCAGCAAAATTTTCAGCAATATTTCTTCACTGATTTTTCAGCATTAAAAAATTCTGACAGCTCACAGCATTTTGCTGAATAAACTCAGTAAATCGAATTTATTTTCACTTGGGGCTGGCAGCTTCTATTGAAGATTTTTGATACAAATACACAAATAATAAAGACAAAATCGCCAAGGTCTTTTCCATGCATAATTTATTAACATATATTATAAGCAGTGCTCTTACCAACATAAATTTATATATTTGTAGTTATGTTTATCTCCTCCTCCTCGGTGGTTTGTACGAATCGTACGAATTCAAATACTTGCGACTGTGACGCTAACTGATTGACAACTTTGCTGGGTGTCCAGCAAACCGTTTATGTTAGCTGAATTTTTCGGTAAAAATATCGTTTGCTGTTTTTCAGTAAAGCTTTTTTGTTGCCGATCATGATCCAGCAAACCGTTTTACTGATAATGAAAACTAAAATTTGGTGTGCTCCGAAAGTTCGCAAAAGCTCCTTTGTCTACCAAAGTAGCAAAGTACCATCAGGAAACTAACTCGTCTAACATAATGCAGCTTTCATACATGCATGCATATAGCAAGACAAACGGAAAATGTTGCCTTCAATTGCAGATAGCATATCAGCAGACTAGAATCCAAGGGACAACTGCTATAATGCTTGAGCAAAGTCGAAACTATCGGATCGAAAAAATTTGCTCGGAGCTTTAACCGTTCAGCGATAGATGGCGGGATTGTATGCGTCTTTTTTAGCTTTTATGTAAGAAAACCTTACACGGAATTGAAAAATTACCCAAAATTAAGTTCTTTTCACTCATCTTCCGTTCAATAAGCTAATGTTCAGTAAAGCGCTTGTAGTAGTTTACATTTGACTACGGCAAAGAAATTACTTACTCGTGAGTATTTTCTACCCAAAATTAAGTTCAATTGACTCAAATTTGAGAATGTCTTAAATACTCACTAGTAGCTAGTAGCTTATTGAACGATAGTCATGAGAAAATCGAATCTCTCGTTCCGTTTTTGACAACAGTAAGTTTGATGCAAAACTCAAAATTACGCAAAATTAAGTAAAAAGAACTTAAATTTAGGGTATTTTTTTTCTCTGTTTAGACATGCCAGTCTCAATTTCAAAGAGAAATGATTTTTAAATTCAATGATTTCAAATGATTTTTAAATTCAAATGGATATATTTTTGGTTTGGTATTGATTCAAATATATTACTCGGTTAGATCAAAGAAAAATATTTTTGAATCAACAAACCGGTTGTAGAGGCAATAATCTGTTATATTGTTGATTCTAAAAACCATTTTGTTGATTCAAAAATATGTTTCGTTGAAAAAGTGATACAATACAATATGTTTGAATCAATAACAAAATACATTAGGCCCTCAAACATAAATCCATTTTTCTGCGTGTAAGGTTAGTGATGTGACGATGTCGTATTTATCCGCTATCCGATATTGAATGGAAAATCGCACACTGATACGTTATACAGCCGACTACTTCCGAAACTACGTACTAGCGCAAAATCGATTGTCGCTAGAGGGTTATTCCGGATGGAAATTTACGCTTCTTACTTGTCCTCCAAGTACCAAAAAATAACATCTCTCGTATAAATAAATGTCCTTCCGTTCGGAGTTAGACGCTCACTTGGTTGTCCTTAGGCTATTCTGGCATTCAACCATTCCCTCGTGTTAATTGAATACCAAGTTAGAATTTCGATTATCTTTGATATCGGATTTTTAAATATCGGTTATCGTATCGATAATTTAGACCCGATATTTATCGATATCGTCACAGGACTACTTAAGGTTAGAATCCTTCTTCACATGCGTGTACAGAAGATTTGCATCTCACGAATATCACGAGACCCGTGCTTTCAAATTCGACAAATGAAGCCGAGGCTTAAGGATTCTCTCCAAGTACACCTTGATACGCGTATTGAATATTTTACAAACTCCCAAAACAGTATCGGTCGACTCATTTTAGTTGCTTCCATGGTAATTTTTTAAATAATTTTTCAAGCCAACAAGAAAACGATCTAACTCGTGCAAAAATTGCAAACAAAAACAAATTACACACACACATCAATATTACGACTTTGATTGAGCAACATGTTTCAAGATATTCGTGTTGGTTTTCTAATGTTACCTACTACCTTTTTTTCTGTGTCTCTTTACGTGTGTGCTCAGTTTTAATACTAGAATGTTGATTTCATGACATTTTTTCTCGATTTTTTTTTTGGTTTTCTTGTCAACTGATTGCTTTTCCGGTGTTTGATATTGTATTTGTAGTAGTTTTAGTAGTAGTAGTAGTAGTAGTTGCAGTAAGTAATAGTAGTGGTAGTTTTATCCAGCAGTACACAACACATACTAGTCGTAGTTTCCTCTTCTATATCGTCTAATTAGCGCCCTTATTTTTTTTGTTTTCACATATTGATTTGTGTTCATCAAATTTAATTACCTTAAACGTCTTACACAACACTGCGAATAAAACTAACAAAGAGAGTTTGCTTGCATTGGCTTGCCTTTTTTTTTTTTGACTAATATAAATACAAAGTGGCAATTTAAGAAACAAACGAAATCGATTAGGATAGATTTGCTTCGTCTTCTTTTTGCTAGTTTATGTTTTTTTTTTGTTTTCTCTCTTAAAACCTTACGCACATACATAACAAAACATTTACACATCCACAGCCTTTCGTTAATTGGTAATAGATAACGGAAAATAATTGCCTATCGGAGAGTTTGCGATATGATGTTCCTCTGATGTCCTACAATTGTATAACTTCTTTCACTAGACGGAGATGCGGTCTGTCGTTAATTCTGAATGTGTAGGTCGTGTGGGGGGGGACCCTTGGGGAGGTGGAAAGTGTCGGAGGATAACGGGGGATTCTGGCAGGAGAAGTAACAAACATCGACGACGACGGTTTGTTCTTCTACGATGCGCAGGGGTTTTGTTCTGATAAGAGTTCTGATTGCCGTTCTTTAAACTAATAATTGATTCGTTCGCCCTTTCCAACAAAGAGCCGCATTTGAGTTTGCTTTTAGTAGATGGATAAAATGATATTCTGCTTTTCCTTTGCTTCTACGATATTTTATCTCACTTGGTCGACGCGTGAAGTTGTATAGAACTTCCCGGCGACCTGAATGGAGTTTGTTTGTGTGTTTTTTTTTGCAATGCATTTACTAGAACTTTTCTTTAGTTATTATTGGTTATTTTTGTTTTGTGTTTATCGCAATATTTTTGTTTAATAATAATAATAAAATGATATTATTTCAACATTGGACCACCATACATTATTGATTATTTTTCTTCTCTTCTTTATACAATATGTTTTAAGACTTGTTCAATCTGACAAATTTGTTGTAAATATAAATATGCATCATCTTTTCCTCTTGGTAATATGCTTCTTAAGAATTAGAGTTCTTTTTCTTTCTCCTTACTCTGGTATGCATTTGAGTTATTCCTCGAAATATGTGTGTTCTTTTCTGTTGCTGTATCTGTATGTGTTTTTTTTTGTGTGGGATATGTTGCTTCTTAACTGAAAAAAATGTTAACCAATGAAAATCAAGGGAAGAATCGAACCAAAACACGGGAAAAGGGAATCAACTCAAGGGACCGCAAGTTTCACAATCAATTGGACAACATTCGGTATTTTACTGCTCGTGTGGCTTCTTTATTTTTACCTCTCAACAACAAATAGTAGTCTCTTTTTTTCATTTGTCCACTGCACCATGGCAGTCATCAGTATTGGCTTCTTTTTGGCTTTCGTTTCAGAAAAATTGATTGTGAAGTAAGAATCTCGCTTCGTATAGTCTTCCTAAAAGTAACTGAAAGTAGTAGATGGTAGAAGGGTTGAAACTTAATCGCTAGTAAATGAACAAATCGGTTATGGAAGGAAAACAAACTAACATTCTAAAAGGTGGAAGATTTGCAGTGTAACAAAAAAAGAAAACAAGTTTAAAAAAATCATAAAAAATATCCTAAAAAAAAATAACAATTTGTTTTCTTTGTCATACGCTGTAGCTTCTCGGGTAGCGTCTCATTCTCTCACTCTCGGTGTTCTATCGTCTAGCCTTAAAAATGAAAGTTTTTTTTTAATAATTTTATTTTGTATAAAAATGTACAAAAAATGAACTAACTTTCCTAACAACTAACATATCTGACGAAAGAAGTAGCATGGTTTCGCTTGGAAATTTTCCATTCTTGCAGTTTGAATTGTCATTTCGTTTCATTTCACTAACAAAACATTGTTTGTAATACCTAAGAGAAGAGCAACCAAAATGATAACCATAGTCGTTCCCCTCGCATACTTTTTTCTTATCGAAGACTTCCGATTCCGAGGGGAAACTACACTCTTTCTCATTTGATGCATTTGCTGTTTTGTTTCAGTGTAGTAGTAGTAGTAGTAGTAGAGTATAGATGTGGTGTCGCACAGTCGCGTGCCTTTGTTTTCGCTATACACGTGTGGTTGTTTACCATATGTTCATGTTTTGTATATGTATGTGTGTAAAGAGTGTTTGCTGTGTTAATTTAATTGTGATGATTGTTGTTGTTGTTTCTGTTGTTTTTTGGGACAGAAAATAGTAGAAATAAAAACGATTCTATACAGTTGTTTTTTGTTTGTTTACTACTAACTTAATCACTAGAACATAATTTTGCCAATTCACTTATTTGACGCTTTTTGTTTCTTCTTCGTTTTTATCCTCTTCACATCGCGATGTACAATTTGAAACTAATTAATTTCACTACGCAGATTGTTTGTTTTCTTTTGTTTTGTATATTATCTCAAATAGTTCAACAAATTATTTTTTACTCTCCTGCCTTTTTGCACTTCCAACTAACACAATAAGAAATTATAATTACGAATCATTACATTATCTATACAGAAAAAGGAAAATCCTTTCTCTTATCTCAGAAAAAGAAGTTTCCGCTCTTTCCAAGCTTACGTAAACTGTGAAAACAAAGGAGAATGAATCCTAACCTCTAAAGAGTGCCTTATCGAACTATGCAATAAATAATGTCTTTTTCTTTCAGTGTTCCTCACTGCTGTTCTCCCTTCTTCTCTAATGACGATTTCATTGCTCTCAGTTGTGTGAACGAAAAATTAACAAATGAATAATCCGGAAAAAATAGGAGCTTTTAGGATGTTGAGAATTGTGTTTTTTGGTTAAAAATTGATGACCTTGCCCTAAAATTCCGCCAATGTTTGTGGCGCGAAAAAGGTATCCTCTGTACATTTTGACGATGTCGAATTATGCTCTTCTTAAAGTTCCTCTAGCAATACACTATTTAGGTTATGTCTTGACGGACGTTGGACTGTGCCTTAAATTTAGCTTTGATATTGTTTCAATGTTTTCTCCCTTCAATAAGTGGATGTTATCAAGATAGATCTTCCGCCGTGTAGTCTCGAATCGAATTGGAAAGGACATTACATGGGGGGTGTGTATGTGTGGTCTTGGATGGTGCTGACGATGGCGATGATGATCGTTGATGGTGGGGTGAGAGCTGACGAACGAGTTACGTCGTTGCTTTTGCTTTCCTTCTAACGACATGGACTCCATCTTACATTGGTTCATCGTGTTCGGATTTGAGATGGCTGCCCGTCACCGAAATGGGCGTCACACCACCGGACGCTGCTGCCACGGCGGAGGCTGTCGCGACCGCTGCCGACATCGGGTTGCCAGGTGCCGGTGCCATGCCCATGCCCATGTTTTCGATGTTCTCGTTACTCCACGCACCGTTCATCGTCTTGGACGAGGAGAAGCACAGCTTCATAATAAACGGGAATTTTGTGCCTGCGGGATGAAAAGAAAACATGGAAAATTGTTGAATCATGAACTAGGTACGCCAAGGCAGCGATGGTTGCGACCGTCTTTGAGAAATTCTACTATAACTCCGAAATCCACCAATATTGTAGACAGACATTGTAAGGCCAACTGGGCGTTATAACCGGTTTGAAAACAACCCGAAATGATCTAAAAAACATTAGAATGCCCCTAACGCACGACGAATATGGCCTAACTAGAATCGTCAAACTAAATATAAAACTCAGTCAGAATAAGTCAATCCAAGTTTTCAGAATTCCTGCAATTCGCAACCTATAGATTGAGAAAATCTGCTGTACACTAAGGCAAATAATCCTAAGAATTCCATAAGGCATGACTTATGAACCTCGAAAATTTTGGTTTTATAAGACACTTATGAATTCCATAAACACAACTTATTATCGTAGCCAGTGGTGGAAAATATCATTGAAAATGAAAAATTCCACGCGATATTTACAGAGCAGACTCTGTCACTATCATAAGACGAAAATACAGTGACAGAGATTTTCGCTAAATTTTCATCGATTGTTTTGTCATGACGGCACGTGACAGTGTTGTAAAAAGTGTAATAACGAGCTCATTTATTAATAAATTGTAATTTTATTTTATTTTTTAATATTTTTACTCTCACGATAACATGCTATTGATTGTGGCAATTTATCTAATTTTACTAGTAATTTGGTTTCCAAAAAAATTAAAGGGTTGTTTCCTAGACACGACCGCAGTATGACGTAGAACTACGCAAATTTGATGTATGCCATGCATTACTATTATACTTTATCTTAACTTTTTTAAGTATTTCAATGTTTCGGTTATGGTTTAATGTTGGTTCAAGTATTTTTCCTGGAATGTTATAATCTATTAAAATTTAAATGTGGGGTCCTAAACAAGCCGTTATATATATATATTGGAGTAGCACCCCAGTAAAGTTCAAAAAGACGTAGTAATTAGATGTTTAGTAGGTGTTTAGTACAACATTAATTGAAATTAGGGGGAATCAGTTCTTGAATTTCAAAGTCAGAGCAAAAGCTTGTATACAGGTTCTCCACCTGTTCAATGTTTTGATAGTAAGCATCATAGTTAAGGTACACCGGGGTAAGTTGAAAGGTTACGTGCATCTCTTAAAAAACTGAATATTCACTGTTATTATTTTTGAGAGGCATTATGTGCTACCGCAAACTACTATATTAGAAATAATATCAGTGTTTACTCACTTCCGCTAAGAGATACATCTACCGTTTCAACTTCCCCACGCGTTTCAACTTGCCCTAGTGTAGGGTAATGGATTTTTCCTATGCATATATGGGCATGAAAATCGTGTGTTTGGTGAAAAAGTCTACCATTCTAGTTTCTTATAATTATCCATTATGTTCTCTAATAGGATTTTATTGAACGTTTTTATTCAGCAATGGTTGGACCTAAAAATGCATAATGATTGGACCTATTATACAAAGTACCATTTGTATGCTTAAGGGCCCGCAGGACCGAGTATCATAAACCAATCAACAGCCGCTAAATGAAAGGTATTATGGTCACATAGAGCACATATTTTTTTGGAATCGGTCAACCGGTGCCGGAAATTTGACCGGAACATGCTGCGGTTTATGTGAGGCATGAGGCTAATTGCGACCTCAAACGAATAAAACTTATCATGTGACACCATTACACCAATCACATTAGAATTCAAAAACTAGTTGAATGGTAGTCGGGGGCATCATTTGCACATTTTTCAAAAGTTTTTTATGGAAAATTTGAAAACTATTTATTTTAGCAGATCCGTAAAGTAATATCCTATCGATTGGTGTATTTGGATTTTAATTTCATCTATAAACGACACAGTTATAATCGTTCAAAACCTAACACTATTTCACCATACACTATAGTATAGTCGACAAAGACGTAGTTCTACGTCAAAATATGAGAATTAATCACATGAGAGCTTCGTTATTTGAAAATGACAGGAATGCTTCGTCTCTTGATAGTAAGTTGTTTAATTATTTATTTGATAAAGCTCAATCGAATTAACTTCACAGAGCCGAGGATTCTTGTTCTAGATAGTGAACATCTTAAAATTATAGTCAAAAGGTACAACACAATAAACCCTTTATCTTCCGCTATAAAATAAGCCTCCTTCATCAGAACGGGAGCCGCTTCCAGTGAATCCAGTCAATACTCACACACTCATCACGAAACGGTTGCTTTCCAAAGTCGACGACGCATCGACCGAAAGAACTGCTGATGGAGGACCACACAACGGTTGCTGCCGAGTAAACAGACGATCGCGTGACACACATCGAGAGTGGCCTGCTTCTGTCGACAGCCAAGTGAACACTTCTTGATAGTGAGGTTTCATAATACTTTTGGAATTGTGGATCTTATGGAATTCTTACGTTCATTTGCCTCAGTGTATGATATGAATAAAGCTGCACTCAAAAAATTCCACACGTCATCATCATGTGTCTCACACTTAATTTTGCGCTTATTGTGAAACACATCCATTTCATGTGTGAATCTTATGCTATGAATCATGCCTGAACATTATGGATTTGAATTGTGACACACTCGGATTCTATGTGCCTCATTTGGTGATATCAATAGCTTTGCACATCATAGTTCAATATTCTACAATATTCTACTTTATCGACTTCTACTTTACCGACTCTAAAATGAATCGACAAATATATAAACAAAACTGCCAGAGGCCAGAGCTTTCACATATCTTTTTAATGGATCTGATTTGGGATTCGATCATGGACTGTTGGGGTGTGCTACTGCCGGAGTCTTCGTTCGATCTCACTGTGCCACGGTTGTTCTCATATATGAGGCGGGTTGATACACTCAAAATAATCTACACGTTGAAGCTACGTGAAAAATCACGTAAGTTCTCACTTTTTCCTCTCCTCTCAGTTTTACGTGGCTCACGTAGAATGTACGTGATGTCCCTTGAATTTCACACCTTGTTTAACACCCCTACATAATCAATAAAAATGTACGTGATTTTCACATAGCACTGAGTCTATGTGCGTTTCACGTAAAGCTTATGAGATGTCCACATGTAAAAAAAAGAGTGGTACGTACACTCAGAGCGGTGCAAATCATGGCAGCATAATAATGGGCTTCGGTATTTTTTAAAGAATGTGGCAAGATGTAAGTAAATTATGGATTATTTGTTTCTCTTTGACAAAAACAAACAGACTGTTTCATCGTACTCAACAGAATGATGTCAAGCTGTCCAGCAGTTTCTTCATCAAGGGCAAAAAGCATTTAATCCCATCTTCATGATCGTCCAGATTTGTGCTGCGTTTCGAATATAAAAAATGCTTATGTGGTTTACTTAGTAAATTTTAATAAATTAAAGGAATATTAGGAACAGTGTCAAATATTGATACTAGAATCCTCCAATGAATGTCACCGACCAAATCACGTAACTTCTATGTGATTAGCCTATGGCGGTTAAGTTTCATAAAATGAGTGCCCCTACATGAGAATCACATAGCTCTTATGTGAAAAGTACGATGGAAAAAATCTACGTATGTTTTCACGTAGCATTGACGTGAAAATTATTCTGAGTGTAGGATAAAGTCACAACTCTTGTTTTCGATGTTTACCTTTCTGAGCAAGCAATTCACATCGCATGCAAAACACTTTAAATCCATCTGTTTTGAACAGTAGTGTGATTCAATGTGCAACTTGAATTTCAACATTTCAAAATTTGAAATACTATAAATTAACGTGTATAACACATTGAACCATGGTAAAATACACTTAAAGTAAATGTGATTGTGCATTTAAAAAATCAAGTATTTAAACACTTCGATCTTGTGGAATTTTTTGAGTGTAACTTACCACCTCCTGTTTGTAGCCATCACTGAAGCAAAAAAAAAACTTAAGAATTCCATAAGGCATGACTTATGAATCTGCACAATTTTGGTTTTATACACAGAAATTCATAAGACTCGATTTATGAACAACAAATATGAATTTCATAAGCGTGATTTTTGAATGATTTTCAGGTAACATGAAGTAGCTCTTATGTATGTGTGTATGTAAAGGAAACCACTCATTGTTGCAGGCACAACCATTAGACAGTGGACTGTCCACCTCGTACGACTTGATCAAGTACAACGCCTGATTGTATTCAATTTACCATTGTATGAAGGGCCAAAAACGGAGGGCGAAACTGTAAGCAGAGACACTCCGCTGGATCAAAGAGAATCTCCTTCCAACAATAAAATCCTACAACCCCCGGTAATGTACAAGCTATCGCACTAGGGGATGTCCCAAGGAGTGGGGACGAAGAGCCAGCCTTCAATTCACGATCTGTTAACGACAGGAAGTTGGCAATTCCACTCTCCCCATCCAAATTGCTTCAATTGGGTGCCCTGGTTGGACCGTCATCTGTGTCATATAATAATGGAATGAATGTTAAAAGAACAATAAACAAAAGATCTCATCCGATATGTTGCAAAGGAATCCATGAGTTCACGGCGATTTCGAAGAGCTCCCATAGATTAGAGGACAATTTATAACCTTCTGCAGTTAAACAAAAACTATCGTCTTTGAAAGACTCTCGATCAATTGACTTATTTTTTATATCTGAGTTCTAATGACTGACATCTAATGTCTGATGTATGGCTAATGACTGATTTTTTATGTTGATTTCGAATTTCGAATGTCTAGGCCCTACTTTCTGCTTTCTGTATTCTGCATTCTGCATTCTGCATTCTACATTCTGCAATCTACTTTACGCCATCTACTTTCTAAATTTCTGATATTTAGATGATATGATTTCGGTTCAAAAATATCTCCAATCAAAAATATCTCCAAATGACAAAATGACAAGCGATCAACGAACCGAATAATAACGCTATGTCAGAAGTGCAAAGCAATAGTGCAAAGCAATAGTGCAAAGCAATAGTGCAAAGCAATAATGATATAGAGCATTTCCAGCCCAAAACGCAAACCGGTTG